ACGATTAAACACAAAGAATATGCACTTATACTAGTATGAATACTTGTACAAAATGGAAATAACCTTTTGACATAAATACATGATAGAAGAACTATTAACCGCCCATTGCGGAAAATTCCCCACTGTTGCCTCCCATAATGATCCCACAAAGAAAAGAATTCAACAGTACGAAAAACACTATAACGCCCTTGTTGACGATCCTTTACTCTTATAGCATCCAGGGTGTGGATTTTCAAGAACGGGAATCTTATGATATGTTGAGAATCTCAAAACTCTATATGGAAATTATCTTTGCCGAGACCATAGAACATAATAATATCTTCATCCAAAATCTGGGGCAGACCTATGAAGCCCCGAGCGAGGTCTCGTACGTGCACCTATTCAACTTATTTTCTCAAGTAAATTTTTTTTGTTATGAAATTGATACAAGGAACATCAATCAAAAAACCAAAAGGAATCCTTGAAATCAACCATAAAACCGAGAGTAGTTAATCAAAATCAACCCAAAAATCTTTAAAATGGCTCGAAATCGACGAAAAGACTTTCAGAAATCCCTCAAAACTGTAGAATTAAGCTAAATACACATTAGATAATTTCACGTGCCTTTGATCCACCTTAAAAGTGTACTCCCTAGGCAAAAGTCCTGGGATTGCTACTCTAAAAAATAACAGTTAATCGAATCATAAAATGTAACAACCCAGATTCAGAAATAACGATGACTAACGTAAATGACCAAACAGGCACCCAAATGTTTACTAATAAAAGGATTTCTTGTCAGTAACCAACCTAAATCTCTAAAAATCACAATTAAGGAGTCAATTAATTAGAGATTTCATTATGAAACTTCTTTCTTATCCTAACTTTGATCATACAAATCTTAAAATCCCAAAGTTATCTAAAACTTCAACAATGGTGGTTGCTATGATTTTAAGAACACAAACTCCAAAAAGGGTCGATTAAATCCAAGTTTTCACAAACAATACACCACATAATCTTAATACTATAATGAGTTTTAATTCATAGAGGAGTCCCCAACAACTTCAACATTTCACCATCAATTTTGATCATTAAAAGATTTAAAACCCATAAATGGTCAAACCCAAAATGATGTTAAAAACTTGAATCAAATGAAGAATAAAAGGCCTACCTAAAAGGGAGAACCAATTAAGCCAACTATTTCTTCTCTTTCTCTCATCGTTCATTGATTTCCTTTTCTTTTAAGTCTTCCATCCCACGAAAAGCAACTCCATTTGCCAACTATTTAAACGTTTGGTCTTCTTAAGGACTGACACTTCAGAAAATTCAAAGATTTTAACTATTTTCTGAAGAAAGCTCTCCATGCAAATTAAAACTTTTGAAGATGGCAAAGACTTGGTTGTTGATGAGGAAAGTTGGCTGATTGACTCGTCAGATGATGAAGCTGCACATTTCACGCAGGTAAACATGTGCTTGATGGCCAAAATCGAAGACGGAGACTCATCATCTGATAATGAAACTGAGGTACAAAATTCTTTTAATGCTAAATTAATCAAAGAAATTGAGAGCATGAACATCGAATTTAAAACTTTGAAAGAAAGGTTAAAGAGTGAGAGGATTTCAATACTAAAATTTTGAAATGAGAGTGTAAGCTGTAGAGTCTTTTGTGAGGATCTGAAAAAAGAGAAAGAAGTTCTAAGATCTCAAAAAGCTGATCTTGAAAAGAATATAGTTTCACTTGAAAAGAAATTGAAAATAGTAGAAGGTGAGAAAATGAATGTTGGATTAAAGTTTGATTTGATTTATAAAGAAAGAGATGACTTATATTCAAAGATCAATCAGTTGGAGGATATCATTTATAAAAGAGGTCAATCTGAACAAACCCTGAAAATCTTGACTTACAAACCCAAGGACACAAGATTTTATAATACTCAAATGGGTTTGGGTTTTAATGAAGCTGAAATTTTGAAAAAGTCCCTAAAATCTCTTTATGACTTTAATGAAAGAGGGTCTACAAAATTTTCATTTCCATCCGTTAGTGAAATTTTTGTTAAATCAGAGTCACCAATTAATTCTAAATGTGATAATGAGAAATCAGTTGAAGAAAATTCTGAAAAATCAAATTTTATATCAGTGTGACTAAAATATGATGAATTAAATTCAAGCTATGAAACCAGAGAAATTCCATTTTCACACATTGAGCTTGAATCA